TCTGGTCTCTTCTTTGAGCCTTCTTAATCTTTGGGTTTGTGTATTTTTCTTTTTCTAGTTAATCAAGAGAGTCATCTCAGAAACCTCCAGTGGTGGTGTGACTGGAAATGATGTCATTATGCATTTCTTCCTCTCAACTTTGCCTTTTGGTGGTGTTGGTAAGTTAATGGAGCTCCTTAAGAGTTGGGACTTACTGCACAGTGTGTCCCAGGGAACAACAGCTCATGGTTTGTGTTTTGGTATACCTGTGCCTCCTGCAGCTCAAGAGTCTTAGTGCAGCAGGTCATGATTATAATTGTAAGTTCTGGGAGTGCATTAGGACAGGGGCCAGGAGAGAAAAACCTTTGGGTGTATTTTTGGAAAGACTGAAGCATTTAGTGCGGCCTGCTGGGAAAGGTGCATTAAAACCATTAGCTGCAATCAGCAATGAGGTGAGGGAGAAGAGGGTTGGAGTACAGATGGACATGGTAGAGACTGAGAAGTGCTGCAGGGGAAGGCTCAGCTGTCCTCAGGCTGAGCCTGAGGAGTGAGCTGCCTGGCCCTGTCCCTCAGGTCACAGCGGGATGGGCGCCTACCACGGCAGGCACAGCTTCGAGACCTTCTCCCACCGCCGCGCCTGCCTGATCAAGGACCTGAAGATGGAGAGCGCCAACAAAATGCGGTACCCACCGGGCAGCCAGAAGAAGGTGGACTGGGCCAAGTTCTTCCTCCTGAAGCGGTTTAACAAGGCCCGAATTGGGCTCTTTGTCCTGGCCCTGCTGGGGCTTGTGGCAGCGGTGATGATTAAGGTGAGTTTTGGGTCTTTGCTGTCTGTGGCAGTGCACGTGCAATTTATCTGATCTCTTCTTTGCAACTGCAGCCCTTTTATAAAGCCTGGCCTTTTTTTCTGTCTTGAGATTTATGATATTTGTCCCACCTTAAATTCTGACCTTCTCACTCTTGCAAGCTGTCTGTAGAATAGGAATATCCCCGAAGAGATCTCGCAGGCTGCTGTACTCCCTGTTGCTCTTCCCTGGTAGGTGACACCCGTGGGATGCTCCCTCCAGAGGCAGAGGTTGGTAGTTTTGGACTGCTTAGGCGTGGTTTCCACTCCAGGGCTTCCTTCAGTAGCGTTTGAGCTGCCTCACAGCCCAGAGAGCTGCAATCTGTGTCGTAGCACCCTGGGGAGGGAAGCTGTGTCCCAAAGCCGGGGTCTGTGACGAGCTGTTGTTCCTCCTCCTCGCCCGTTGCAGCCCCTGTCTGACCTCAGCTCAATTATTCCCATTTCCTCCCTTGTTTCCAGCCGGGTAGTGCGGAAGGGTGGGATGTCCTCTCCTCTCTGCAGGAGGGAGAGGCTTGCAGGAGGCTCAGGATGCCTCCTGAGGTGGAGGAGCAAGATCTGAATCTCTTAAGTGTGATCGCTGTTGGTTGTCCGTGTCTGACATACCAGACACTATGTGTGCCTTCACCGACTGCTCTGTGGGCTTTAGTGAGCTTAAGGGAGCAGCTCCTGAGGGCACAGGAGGAGGCAGGGTGGATCAGAACTCTGCCCTTCAGTTTGTGTAGTTGCTGCTGCAAGGAGACACTCAGGAGCCCAACATCCCAGGGGAAGAAATAACCTGCCCACATAATCCAGGAGGAGATGTAAGAGCCAAGAACTGGCTCAGACCTCGAGGCAGCAGCCAGGGAGGCAGGCCCTGTGTAGGGCAATGAGAGGGGGGGAAACTCACAGCATCTTGAAATCATTTGGGTTTCTCAGAGCCACCAGTCTGTGCTGAAGAGAAAAGCCCTCTTGGTTGTGCTGGCTGTGCAGAGGCTGGGCTGGCCCAGTGGGTGGTAAGGAGGAGCAGGTTTCAGAGCACTGCTGTGGCTGTCACAGTGAGGTAGGAGCCTTTTTCTTCTCCTCTGTCTAGACCTCGTTTGAGACTGGGAAAAGCTTTATAGATGAGTGAATGTGGGGCTGAGCCAGAGCACGATGTTTTCCCTGGCATCTGAGATAACCAGTGCATGCTGAGGGGCAAGAGAGCTGCACCTTGGGGAACCCCCTGGCTGAAGGGGCTTTGCTTCAGGCTGTTCTAGAAAGGGAATTGGTTTTGTCTCAGCAGATCCTTCACAGGACGTTGGTGTTGTGTTTTGCTTTCACAGGTGATTAACTGATGAAGAGAGAAGGCACCATGTGCACATCATACTCTGGGTGCTGGCTTTGTGTCTGTTTCTTTAAGCTGGGAAGTCATTCTTTTCTTTTGTTCTGGGTGATTTCAGTGAGCTGTCGAGCACACAGAGTAGCCTCAGAGAGGCACTAACCACGAGAAGGCTCAGATTCCTGTTTACTTAAAAGCCATGCTGGAACAGAGGGACCAGTGGGGACAAGCTCTCCGAAGGAGGACTGCAGAGCAAGAAATTCCAGTCCCTACCTCCACCCCATGCCATGCAGAGCTTCCAGGGACACACAGTGTCCTGCACCAAACCACTCACCTTCCCTCAGTGACCAAATTGCAGCAATCCTTGGGTTGACAGTGATTTCCCTGCATTTTTGGGGATGGTCTGAACACCCACCCTCTTGGTGACAAGCCTGAGACAAGCTGTGCTGCCCGATGTGTTTGGCCAAGAGTGGTGGCTGTGAATAAATCCAGTGAGGTTCCCCTTGCCATTTAATTGAGGTGAAACATTCTCCCATCTCTGCAATCCAGAATCTTCCACAGCTGGTCAGGAGCTGCTTGCTGGGTTCTGTGTTTCATCCATGTGCCTTGAACAGTTATTTAGCAGTTACAAAATTCCAAAGGTGATGCCTGTGCTGCCTGTATTGTGCTGATGAGTGTCTTGTGCTGGAGCAAAAGAAATTTCAGGCCTGTTCAGAGAAGTGGGAATGACAAATACCTTGTGGATTAGCCCAGCCCCACACAGCCACTTGCTTTTTCCTTGTGAGATGGGGAAGAGAATGGGAAGAAAGTGAGAAAACTTGTATGTTGAGATAAAAATAGTTTAATAGGTGAAGTGAAAACTGGGCTTGCAGGCAGATCAAAGCAAATTAAGGAATTTGTTCATCAATTCCCCTCATCAGGCAGGTGTTCAGCCACCCCCAGGAGAGCAGGGCATCATCAAACCCGGTGGTGACTTTGGAAGACAAAACACCATAACTCCAATGTCACAAACCCAAAACAGCACCATCCTTCTGCAAAGAAACTTAGTGTCTAACAGGAAAATTAACTTCATCCCAGCCAAAGCCAGTACAGAGCTGTTCCTGGTCAGATTCCTCCAAGGGAAAATAATTACTGGAAGAGTGTGTGTGCTCCTTCGTGTTCGAGCTTCTCAGGATTCTGTAATCTTGCACTGGGGAATAATGTGGGGCTTGTTCTAGCTTGGGGGAAGGATGCTGAAGGAATTGAAGGTGAAAGAGCCTTAGAACTATTAATATTAAAGCAAATTGAAAAATTATTACTAAATGCAATTAATATAGAGTAGAAAATTACATTTACTGTGCAATAAGTGGGATTTCTTCATGTCTGCTGAAAATCCATGTGCTAAGCCTTTTGGACGATACATTTTGCAAGGCACTAAATAAACACTGAGAATTTAAATAATAAACCGAGTGTGGTAAGTCCTTGCAGTCTGCTGAGGAATCCTGCTCTGCTGATCCTACCTCTGGCCATGGCTTGGCTGAATGGCACACATGTGTTCTAAGGTGTCCCTGGCATCCTGAGAAAGATCTCCCAGAGCTTTGTTGGGCACTGGAAACACTCCTGGAGCCAGGCAGGGAGTGAGGTGAGCCAGTAGAGGAGCTGGCCTGTTTCCCCCTCTCAAATCCACGCTGGATTACCTTTCACCTGCCTGGTTGGGGTTTTTTAGATCCCGAGCCTGAGCGTTGTGTCCCAACAGCAGCTGTGGCACGTGGGCCAGGCATGGGCAAAGGCACGTGGGTCTCTGCCATCCCACACTGGGGCTGAGTCACTGCCCTGGCTGGCAGCAGCCACGAGGGCTCCACAGCCCAGGACAGGGCTGTGTAAAGGGCATCGTACCCAGCAAGAGCCCTGGGCCAGGGCCAGCTCGCCCGTGGGAGGAGGGATCACCCCTGGCCATGGCAGGGGAAGGGCTTGTGCCTGCTTGCACTCCTCACAGGAGGCTGGTGGAGAGAGAAGCTTCTCTGAAGGTAACTTGCTTTTTTCCTTTGTTTTTTAATGAGTCACTCGCTTTCTTGAGCTGTGTCACGCAGCTGTAGCAGTGGGTTGGGGAGGGCAGGATTTAATCGTTGTGAGGGGATCTTGGTGTCTTGGTTGGTGGGGCACAGATGCAGGACCAGATCTCTGGTCCTGACTGAAGAGTGAAATGCTGCTCCTGGGAAGCAGGGTGAAGTGTCTGCAGTGTTTTGTCATGTTTCTCTGAAGACATGTGAGGGCCTCATGGTTTTGGGGAACGTGGGTGCAGGCCAGCTCCGGGCACGCAGCTCTGCTTCCAGCTGGCTGCCCACCCAGGCCACAGTCATCTCTGTGTTTTGGCTCCTTGGGAACACCCTTGTGGGCAGAGGGTGGAGTGGCTGGTGGGTTCGAGGCTTGGAGAAAGCACCCTGGAAAAGAGGATCAATCAGCAAACTCCAGATTGCTCTGAGAGGTGCCCTGTGCGGGTGGAACGGGGCTTGGATGCTGTGAGCCCTGAGCACCCAGCTCAAGAGTGGGAACTCCTCTCTCAGGAGGACATCTCCCAGCCCTGCTGAGGGTGGGACACTCGTGGTGTTCCCAGGGCTGAGCAGCCCTCCACGGCCCTGAGGTGAGCCGGGG